GGGTGTGCTGTGGGCGGGTGCGAGAGACACTAACAGGCTACTACACTGGCGAGCTACTGATGCACAGTCCCACATCGCCTGGGTAGAGGAAAGGTGAAGTGCTTATATGTAAGTGTGTCATCTCCAATTGGTATGAGGCCTTTTGGGGTGAAACCCAAGAGCAAAACCGTGAGGGCTCAGGCCCAAAGCGGATAATATCATACCATATGGTGAAGTGGGTCGTTACAATAAATACAATCTTAATTGGTTTACAACATATAGTCAAACAAGTCATTCAATACATATTTTTCTAATGAAATTAATTACATGAGTAATTGAATGATAACACTTTTATCCTTCCTTGACGACTAAGAAAGCTTACCCAAAGGAATGAGACAACAGTACTAACTTGCTGATTTATTTTTCCTTTCACTGGAAACCAAAGAATCAGGAATTGAAAGAAATTTAGATTTCTTTTTTGTAATCTTTCTACTGGTTTCTCAGTAACCAAATGAAGTTGTTAACTAAATATAAGATTGAAAAAGAAAGATAAAAATATAATGTGAAAGAATGAAGAGAAGTTTAGCGTTTAAATTGCCATTAAAGGGCTGAGTTGCAGTTGTCATATCTTACTACAAACCACTGAACCAAATGATCAAATGATGATATGATTGCAAATGTTGAATGTTACAGTATTGAATTTTTAATTATTAAATTAAGGAACAAGACCTAGAGAGCAACTACAACCGAAAGAGGGCTAAACATGGATAAATTTAACCCCAGAATGAAAATTAAGGTTCTTTTCAAAAAAGGCTATATATGCCTACCATGTGCCATGATTTTCAAGCACCTAAAAATTTCTTCGAACATTTATCCTTACCATAAGTGAAAATCATGAGTCTCTAATCGACTGGCTAAAATTATTACTGGAATAGTATTCTTAAGGCACTTTCTATCATTATGAACATTAAACTAGTTTCTCCATTTAAGCAACATAAACAACAAACCAGCACTACTAACCAATTATTTCAATTTATGTGATACAACTAAAGAAAGTTGAAAAGTGATCGTTTTTCTACCTTGGAGCTAGATTTAGATTTATTTCCATTGTGACTTGAAACTAATGCCTTTGCTCGTTTCTTCGTTGCCCCTGTCATAACTTCAAAAATTGTTAAAAGATCGTTTTATGATATTAAAGAGGCGTTTCCTGCATCAAAAATAGCAAAATATCAATGGAGGGATGAAATCATAGAATACCACAACCCATGGGAAAAAAGTAAGAAACAATTTGGCCATAGTTGGCAAAACTTCAAAAACCCAAATGCAAGACTTTTGTGCTTATTTTTTGACGCCTCAATTTTAGTCATCATTAATTATGAAAATAGAGGGGGATTATGTATACTGAGGCAAAGTATCAAACAGATGGTGAATTGAAATATCAGCCTGACAAACGAGTACTTAGAAAACAACAACAAATATGGAATTCCATTTCTTTAAACAAACCCATGCTAGGTGAATCGATTTTGGAGCAATCTCACCAGGAAGAAAGACAATCAAATGATCACTTCATAACTTATTCTTCAGAATTCTTGAATGGCAGTAATTGCTGCCGCATTTTAAAATCTCAATTTCAACCATCTCCTAAATTCATGCTTGAAACATTCCCCGCCCAAAATTCTTGCAATAATCTAAACTTCTTCCATTAATAAACTTTCAACTGCTTTACTAAAAAAAAAAAAAAAAAAATTCACCCACCCTATACTAAATAATTGTCTAAGGAAAACCATGACAAAGTCTTCATCTTTCTTAATTTGTTATCTTCTTAAAGTATTCTTCAAGTAATTGGCATAAAGTTTATGTTTGACAGCTAAGAAAGTTTGTGAAATGGAAAAAAAAAAAAAATTATATTGAAGTCGTATTCTTGGGTTCCACCAAGAAAATTAAAAGTGTATTTCCTCTTAACCAAGAGGGTTGTATTAGGTAAAGTAGAGTGGAGAATTAACTTTTTCTTCGGTTCCAAATAACAAGATTTTCAATTTCATCCACAACCGCAAATCCACATAAATTTAGGAACCAAGTGAATAAATTAAACACATAGTAGCAGCTGAATTAAAGAATAATCAAAGTGTCTTAACTGGCAATTCTACGACTAAAACTAAATAATTACAAAATAAATAAATAAAATAAAAAAGACTCATAATTCATATTACATTGATAATTATTTTCGCCATTAATATGGGTTCTGTTTGAAAATTAAACAGGGAAAAAAATCCATTTCACACAATCTGATTTGAATCATGGAGATCTAAAAAATAAAAAATAAAAAATAAAATAAAATTATTATATGAAGAGAATAATTGGGTATCGGAACAGGAATCAGATGTAATACTGTAGATGGAGAGAGAATTGCCTTTGATGATTGGAAGGTGGCCTCCAAGCATTCTAGAGAACTAGACGACGATCTAACCCTGATTATGGAGATGTATAAAAAAATTAAACAGGGAAAAAAATCCATTTCACACAATCTGATTTGAATTATAGAGATCTAAATAAAAAAAATTTATTATATGAAGAAATTAATTGGGTATCAGAACAGAAATTAGATGTGGAAATAGCGAAAGATCAATAATATCGTAGATGGAGAGAGAAACGTCTTTGATGATCTTAGAAGGTGGCCTTCAAGCATTCCAGAGAATCGTCTAACCCTCCTTAACATTTCCTCTCTCTTTCTCTCTCTGAAGGACCCTTTGGTAAATTTTTTCGAGATAACATAAGGACCCTTTGTTAAATTTATTTGTTTAGATAATTGTTGAAGTATTTCGTTAATATAATTCAAAGGTATATATATACATGTGGGGCTGTTTAAACATTTGTTATTACAATAAACGGTAATTTTTTTAATTGATGTGGCCCAATCTGGGCCACACATCGAACAGGAACAGGAGAGAGGATTTTTGCCTGTCCGAGTGTCACCTGTGCAGAATGATTACGGCTAAAAATTTCCGGCAACAAAACCGTAGTTATCGTAAAACTCAAGGGTATCATCGTCATTTCGGTTCAGCTACTGCAAACTCCCCAGCACGAAGTCGCCTCTTTCTCTCTATCTGTGACAAAAAAATTCAGATTTTCTCTGCGGCTATGTTTGGTAGGATGGGTTTGAAGGGGGAGGATAACATTAGTTATAAGGGAAATGGAAGGAAAGGGAAGGGAAGGATAAGTTTAATCCTCAATCGTGTTTGGTTGATTAATGAAGGAAAAGAAAGGGAAGGATAACAATCATGTTTGGGAAAAGAAAGGAAAGGGAAGGATAATAAAAAATTTACTATTATGCCCTTTATATATTTTAAAAGATAAATTTTTAGATTTAAATACGCAACAATATTTTTGCCCCAAGATTCGGTTCTAAGGCTCAGTTTGGTAGCAAATGCCACATTCATCTTCTCTTTCCAAATCAATATTTCAAAACTCAACAGCACTTAACTAATTTATGCAGTGGTATTGAGGCTAAGCAGCCCAACTTTGCCATGAGAAAATCTGCTCGTGTGCAGCTGATTAAGAATGGGAAGAAGATAGCTGCATTTGTACCCAATGATGGTTGCTTAAACTATAGTCTCCTCAATATAGTTTAGTGTAGATCTTCTTTAATGTATCAAATCTTATAAAAGGAGCCGGCTCAAGTAAAAGTGGAGGAGGCTCCAATATGAATGGAGCAGGCTCTACTTTAAGTAGAGGAGGCTCCAATATGAGTAGAGCAGGCTCCCAATTACTAGATCTTCCTTCAAGCAAGTAACAACAGAGAAAAGTAAAAAAATGATCATTAATTTAATCTTTAAATTTGGCTTCTTACTTTTTTGGGTGAGAGGGGTTTGATCACAAATGTAATCAATGATGATCAACAACATAAAACAGTAAGTTAGGTTCTTTCTGACTTTATTTAAAAAAAAAAAAAACTTAACAACCTAAGGCATGAAGTGGATCGAACATACAGATCCACCAATTTCTTGCAAATACCATATCTTCAACTGAAAAGAATCAAAGACACCAAAAGATTCTATAGTGAATTATGTTTGTGCTAATTTCGACTAAAAATTAAGAGCAGGAATATATATAAATTGAAGAGGGAATTTCATGGATTTAACATACCAGTGAAGGAACCCATCATATGGAAGAATTCGCCCAAAGCAAGATGAAGTCTCCTAAGTCAGTTTGCTCTCTGGAATGTTTCAATGATGACCCCAAATTAGGAAGTGCCGAGATATAATGGGAATAGGACACTTGAAGGGAGCCGGCTCAACCATGATCATGGAGCCGGCTTTTATGGGTTTTTGAGAGGTGCCGAGTGAAATAGGAAGGATGTAGATGAGTGGAGCCGGCTCTTCCTTTTTGTGGAGCCGGCTCCACATTTTTTTTGGAGCCGCCTCAAGTAGTTGCTGGAGCCGGCTCTCTTGGGCATTTGAGAAATCCCGAGAGTTGGTGTATGCAGGCCAATAAAGGAGCCGGCTCAACCTATTTCTAGAGGCGGCTCTTCTTGGAGATGCCGAGAGCATGGATTTAGGAAATTTAAGGAGCCGTTACAAACCTTTCCCTTCTATCTCTATCATCAACTTCCTCCTCCGGCACAGAGACCATGCAGTGAACCCACTTCCCCTTCTCTCTCTCCCATACGTGAACCCACTTCCCCCTTTTCTCTCTCCTATTTCTTCTTATACCAGTGAATTTTGGCGCCTTTGTTCCCGCGCTGAATATACGCCTTCCTTTGTTCCCGCGTTGAATACAGGCCCTAATATGAAGAGCAAATTTGAGGGTAAAATTGGCCTAACAAATATTTTGTATGCCATTGCCTTCCCTTTCCTTCCTTATCCTCCCAATTTTGGAAGGTTAAAAAATTACTGTACGTTGCTTATAAATAACCCTCCAAACCCCTCCCTCTCCTTCCCTTTCCCTCCACTAACTTTACCCAAACACAATTTTTTTATTACCCTCCGTCCCCTTCCCTTCCCTTTCCCTTCAAACCCATCCTACCAAACTGACCCTGAGAGAGCCATTTTCTCTACTCTCTCTCTCTAGAGAGATATATATATATATATATGTGCACACACACAAATATATATATATATATATACTTTGTCGGTAGGGTTCGGTCGCTATCTTATCTTTTTGATTCCTGATCTCGCCGCAATCCAGCGATCTGATCGGTCAGAGTCTCCCGAAGTTGAAACATCAGATTTCCGGTGATCCACCGGCCGAATTTGTCAGATTCCGTTCAGTATTTGACCGAAACGGATGGTTTCAATAGAATCTTTATTCTTTATGATTTTGTTGATGTTAGATTCTTAGTCAAAACTTCAAAACTAGGGTTTTGAATTTGCTGTTTTTGGTTCTGTTATTTGTACACTATTCTACACAGTTATGCCGCGAAGTTCACGGCATAAATCGCACAAGGAAAGGAAACACAGTTCGAAGGACGATAGAGAGTACTCGGACACGGAAGAAGATGTGAAGATGAAGGACAGGAACGGCAAAGAAGAAGGTTCAGTTAGGGTTTCTAGGGATCCAACATCGGGTGAGAAGCGGAAAGTTGCTTCAAGAGATGGCAATGATTTGGGTGGTCACGGTAATGGTGATGTATTGGAAGAGTATGTTGTTTCAAAACGGCGCAAAGAGAAGGCTGATGCTACTGCTTCTAGTGATAGGTGGAATGGTAGTGGGGACAGGCGAGGCGATGGAACAACTACTGATAAGGAGGCAAAAGGTGAAAGTTTCAAGCTTGAATCAGATAAAAGTTCGAAGTCAAAGGGTTCGAGTGATTTGAAGAGTAAAACCAGAGGTGATGGAATAACTATTGATAAGGAGGCAAAAGCTGAAAGTTTAAAGCTTGAATCTGATAAAAGTTCGAAGTCAAAGGGTTCGAGTGATTTGAAGAGTAAAGCCAGAGGTGATGGAATAACTAGTGATAAGGAGGCAAAAGATGAAAGTTTCAAGCTTGAATCTGATAAAAGTTCGAAGTCAAAGGGTTCGAGTGATTTGAAGAGTAAAACCAGAGGTGATGGAATAACCACAGATAAGGAGGCAAAAGGTGAAACTTTCAAGCTTGAATCAGATAAAAGTTCGAAGTCAAAGGGTTCGAGTGATTTGAGGAGTAAAACTAGAGGTGATGGAATAACCACTGATAAGGAGGCAAAAGGTGAAAGTTTCAAGCTTGAATCAGATAAAAGTTTAAAGTCAAAGGGTTCGGGTGATTTGAAGAGTAAAACTAGTAGAAGGCATGATAATGTTTGTGAGAATGAAGAAGATATGCGTTTGGAAGCCGAGAAAGGGCACTTTAAGAATGGCAGTGAAGTTGACCTGAAGCGGAAATCTGAAAAAGATTCTAGGCGGAAAGAGGTTCGTCAACATAAAGATTCTAAGGAATTGAAGGACAATGAACCTGAATTGGAGAGAGGAAGGAAGGTTCAGGACACTAAGAGGGATGTGCAGGCACGGCCAGCTGATGAAGCAGCCAGGAAACAAGAGTTGCAGTCTGCTGATTTAGGGAAAGAGAGACTGGGGAAACAGGGTAGTAGAGAAAATACTGGTAAGGTAACTTATTGTTGTAGTTATCTGAACTTTTTTGTTTATTGTCGTTCTAATACTGTACTATTGGTTTATTGAAGTGTTTGCTATTAATCTGGTTAACCATTTGAAGTAATAGATGCTAGTGTTGTTAATATGCATCCACTGCCAGAAACTTTCTATAAGTGCACAACTTCACTGCATGCAAGGCGGCATTTTATGCATAATTTGAATCACATCTAAACCTTGTTTCAAATAAAAAACAAAGATAGAGCTTTACATGTGCTCTTGAATTAGGAAAAAAGTGAGTTAGTTGCCTTTCCGCTTTAACTTGTAAATAAGTAAGCCATCAATATCATCTTCCAAATATGGCTAGAAGTGAACAGACGTTTCAGTCCTAGTGCTACAAAGAAAACACGCATGTCTGTAGAGGGCAGTTTTGGTGCAGCCTATCTGGAGTGCTGGGAGAGTAGACTAGAGATGAACCTTATTTTTGTCATTATTTTTATCCAAGTTGGTAGCTCTCATACTCGAAATTGTATCCTACACTTGTCAATCCAAACATTTATCATTGCACTTAGTTATGACCCCTTTTCTTTAGAGGTAATGGTATTTATTATATCTTACAATTATAAGTTGTTGTCAAGGGCAATAGAGAATACTTTGAATAAGTTTGAGTCTTGTACGGGGTGGGGAAAGTGAGATAGTTCAGGTTTTAACTTGCAAAGAAGGAACTTGGGGTTGGGGTGTGGGTAGTGAAGAATATGATTAGACAAGGGATTTGGTCAAGTGGCAATGTTGCTGTTAGATTTTCAATGAGATCGAGGTTTCGGACATTTAATTATATCACGATTTTAAGTAACGGTAACAGCCACTGTAGTAATAATGGTTTGCTGTGTAACACACTTTGTGTTTAAGGTTTGTAATGTAAAGGACATGGCTATAAGAGTCATGCTTTTTTTTTTTTAATCATTGAACTCCCCTTTAAATATACCAACACTCATGTTTTAATTTCAAAATCTCTTGAATATTGTTCTAAAATGATTCTAAATAGTTAATGCATTTCGCTGAATATATGAAGATGATTTATTATCACCTCCCCCACCCTGTGGCAGATATATCGTATCACCATATCATTATTGAACTTATTCTTAAGTTTCACAGCTTTTGTATTGACAAATTCACTTATTTATGGAAGTGTGAAAAGTCATTGGTGTGTTGGAAACTTGGAATACATATATTGTTGTTCTTTTCCTGAGTCCTTTTATTGGAACACATAAGTCATTGGTGATTTGCACATACTGATGGTTTACACCTAATGATATGCTTAGGTCTACTTTGATTTTAAGTTGTTTTCAGTAATGAAAGCTTACTTATTCATAAGTTTCACTACTTTTGTATCAGACAAATTCACTTATAAATGAAAGTCTGTAAGAAGTCATTGGTGGGTTGGAAGTTGGAATGCATTTGTTGTTCTTCTTTTCTTGAGTCCTTTTATTGAGTTTCATTTCATTAAGGTATCTTCCTAGTGAGATTCGTCTGTCATAAAAAGATAATAAGGAGTCAATCTAATTTTTAATTATACTTTGATTGCAGAGGTTTGTAGCCTTTCTTTGAGCTAAGTTGACTGGTTTCATGTTTCTACCAGAATGATCTGTGCAGTTGAAATTTGGTTATGTGAATTCAAAGCTTCCAAGGCTGGAGGGTTTTAATTGCATATCCATTTTCTATGGTTTTAGTAGTTGTGGAATACTTATTGAACTTTTCTGCTGAGGTAACCTTGAGGAGCTCAGTTGTAGTCTTGCAGTGTGTTAATTTGCTGCACAATTCTCTCATAGATTGTCAACTAAGAAATAAGAATATAGTTGAATCAACAATACTGATGGTTTTGCTTAGGTCTGATACTAGAAGTGGGCTACCCACACGAACCAAATTATTATTATTTTTTTGATTCACGGAACAAGTTCCTAGGCCTCAGGAAGAAGGCCTTTTAATTAAAAGGAGTTTATAGTTCAAAAAAAGGGAGGTTCTGATAATAATTCGATTCCTCGAATGCCATTTAACTTAGGTGAGCACTTTATTGTTGTAACATTAAACAGAAGAAGACACAAAAAATGAAATTTTAAAGCTCCAACTGTTGGAATCAACCTTATTGAGGTGCAGAACGAGAAGGCCCCCTTTTGCATTGATTCTTTACAGTTTACCCAACACAAAAATTTAGTTTAGATTTTTTCTTCTTTTTCTTTTTAGTGTCAAACTTGATGGTGCTACTTCTGCATACAGATCCTTGTCTTTTGGAAGCATCATATGTTACTTCTGCGTCTAGTTAGGGTTGTAAATGAGCCGAGCCGAGCCGAACTTTAGGGTGTTCGTTCTTGGCTCGCCTAAGCCTGAGAGGTGCTCGAGCGCCAAATTTTTTATGAGCTCGGACTCGGCTCAGCTTGTATTTATATATATATATATCTCAAATGAATCAACCAACCGAACCAAAAAAGTCGCCATCAATCTCCTTCACCAATTAATCATTCATTTATCTAATTTTCATCTCTTCTTCACAAGCTTCAAAGCCATCAATCTCCGATTCATCAAGGGAATATAAAAGTAGATATATATATATATATATATATATATATATATATATATATATATGTATGTATGTATGTATGTATGTATGTATGTATGGAGAGAGAGAGAGAGAGAGAGAGAGAGGGGGGGGGGGACTGACCTTGTCGTTGTAGTCTCGTAGAGACCTCTGTTGTTACAGATCTGTGTTTACGGCTGTATTTAGGTTTTCAGTCAAACCCTTTTTATCATACTATATAATATCTAATGGCTGATAATACGATTATATGAGATGAAACTATGTTTGGGCTGGTGGGCTACTTAATTAAATGAACTTAATTTGTTAAATGGGCTTCTAAATATTAAGGTACTAATTGGGCCAATGAAATATATAAAGAATTTGGCCTACACTTATATTTATGGGTTAGGCTTCTAAATATTAAATTTGAATATAATATTTTTTTTTCTGTAAACGAGCCTAAAAATGGGCTCGAGCTCTCTTCGCTTACTTATTGAACGAGCCTGAACCCGAACCCCAGCTGTTCATGAACGGCTCAGTTCATTTGCAGCCCTATGTCTAGGTTTGTGATCTTAGAGTTATTTTTGTTGTCATGTTATGTAATGTTAAACTTAGGAAATAGTTGGGGGAGGTCTTGCTTTATTAAGGATTTTCCCAACGAAATGTATGCATATTGTGTTAATTCACTTCTATCTCATATGTTCGAATGTGGTTTTGTTTTATAGGAGCTTTGCTGCTATGCAGATTTTTTCTAATCTTTCGTGTGCCTTCTATTGTGTGATAACCTTGTTACCTTGTAGAAGCAACTGGAGCCATGTTTCACAATGTTCATTCTTGATTATAACTTCATTTAACATCCATCTATTTTGCCAATTCTAACAGATAATGGAAGCTTTTATGCATGTGACATGCTGTTCAGTTTGTTAAAAAAAAAGAAGACATTTAAAATTGCCATTTTCGGAATGTTTTTTTTTTTGATGTGTGAAAGACGTTCTGTTGTGTTTTTTTTAAATATATTTTTAACTAGATTTCAGTTTACATTTTCAGTAATTATTCAACATTATTATTATTATTACTTTTTACAGTTGGTGTGCAAGATGAGTTATGGAATCCTGAGTTAGAGAAGGAACTTGAGAAACAAATAGGCAAGAGAAGAGATGGTTCTAGTGATAAGGATAAACATCAAGATCATGCAAAAGAAATTGATGATAGACGATTGTCTTCGAGGGGTGAGCGTGCGAAGGATGATAGGTACAGTGATGAGAAGCACAAAGATGATAGGTACAGTGACGAGAAGCACAAAGATGGAAGTCATGGGGATAAATTGCGGGATGAGGGTAAAAGAGATAATAGACACAGGGACAATAAATATCGGGAAGATGATGACATGTATAATAGATATGGGGATGACAAATATCGGGAAGATGTTAAGAGAGATAATAGACACAGGGATGATAAGTATCGGGAAGATGGTGGTAGAGATAATAGACAGAGGGATGATAAGTACCGTGAAGAGGGTGACAGAGGCAATAGACACAGGGATGATAAGTACCGTGAAGAGAGTGACAGAGACAATAGACACAGGGATGATAAGTATCGGGAAGGGGGTGACAGAGACAATAGACACAGGGATGATAAGTATCGGGAAGGGGGTGACAGAGACAATAGACACAGGGATGATAAGTACTGGAAACACAGCGAGAGGGAGGATAGGCATAGGGAAGATAAGCATCAGGAAGATGTTGACAGAGAAAATAGACATAGGGTTGGCAAGCAAAGAGATGACAATGATAGAGATCAGAGACTCAGGGACCTCAAATACAGGGATGAGCACACCTCAAGGGATCGCACTAGTGATAGGTCTGATACTAAGCATTCAAGGGATGAAGGTAATGCTGGAGATTTTTGTTATAGGAAATCAAGCAATTGTGATGGTAGTCCAATAGATGATGATCGTAGTACCAAATACAATTATGACAAGGGAAAGAGAAGAGCCAACGATAGAGAGGACAGAGAGGACCATAATGATATGAGATACCGAAGTACCAAAGAGCAGCGTTCTGATGAAGAAAAGAAATCAGTGAGCGGTGCTAAATTAGAGTCAGTTACTGATAGGGAAAGATCTTATTCGCGGACTGTGGATATGGAAATTTCTCTAAACCACAACAGACGGAATTCTCCCATCTTCACTTCTCATGCTGCAAAAGATCACTACAGGTAATTTTCACATTATATTCCCATGATGAAGTAAAGATTTCTAAATAACTTTAAATTTTGTTATGCATTATCTGCAATATAATGGATGGGCATTAATGGTGGAGTAACGAACTTTGTTGTGTTCATAGCAAGACCTCTGATTTTGGCACCCATGTGTTTATTGGCCTTGTTACGTACATCTGGGGAGTATAATATGTTGTACCGCTTGGGTAACGGAAACAGGACTGGTACTTCGAAACAATATGATTTGGTTGAATGTCGTGTGAGACTTTGTTGGAAAGATAGATGCTGTTAGGAAGAAATCTTAAGAAGCTCAAATATAAAGAATTGTGCCTAATAATACTATTATTTGAGATGCTGTTAGGAAGAAATCTAAAGAAGCCCAAATATAAAGAATTCTGTCTAATAATACTATTATTGGATACTCATTTCCTAATAGGCTTTTGAAATTTAAAACACATGAAAAAGTGGTTATTTTTAAAACTTTGAAGAGTTTCTGTAAGCTTTTGGACATTTGAAAAAGGGTTTCCTTAATTTATTCTCCGAAGTGTTCTGTACAGCTCCATTTTAATTAGGAGAGTTTTGGTGGAAAACAAAGGCTATGTTTTGACATGAAAGTTGATTTTAGTGAAAATCTGCAACAAATTTTACTAGTAGATGTGAGAGAAGACCTTAAAGACCTGCTTGAGTTTAAGGAAACTTTAGTTCTGTATAAACACAAGTAAGCTGTCACATTGGTAAACATTGCTACTCTCGATCACTTTTCAGCACCCTCATGTAATCGATGTAGCCTTATGGTTTGTAATGGCATCAGGAAACTGTTAGGAAGGGTATCTAATGACTAATTGTGCCCTACAATCATTGGTGATTGTATGCCATCTGGTTATGCTTGTGGTGGTGTTACATATAGGGATGGCAATGGGGGCAGTTTTGGGCGGGTGTACCCGCCCCCGCCCCCGCCCCCGCCCCCGCCCCCGCCCCCGCCCCCGCCCCCGCAACCGTTTAGAAATCCCGCCCCGTCTTCGTACAAAACCGTCTAAACGGGGGGCCTTTCCACCCCATCCCCGCCCCCGTTTAACTTTTTCACCCTCACGGGCACCCGCTCAATTTAGTTCCAGAATTTCTCCTAATTTTTTTATTTTTTTTTCCTCAAATACAATTATATAACTATTGAAAAAAATCATAAAAAATAGGCAATCTATAATTTAACATAAAATTCAAGGGCATAAGCGTTCTTAGTTCGTAGGGCTCTGCCGCTGTCTAGAACGGCTGAGAAAGTGAGTGAATGTGACCTAGGGTTTCTAGAGCTAACTATATATAGTAATAAAATAAGGGTAATTTAGTAACTTACCTACCTAAACGGGCCCCAAAATCGCGCGGGTTTTAATTAATAAAAACCATCCCCGCCCATGTAAGCTAACCGGTCAACGGGGCGTGGTGGGGCGGGTACCCGTTCCCACGGGGCAAATTGCCATCCCTAGTTACACATGTATGGTTCTATTACCTGGACACTTTCCTTTTTCAATGTTCTGAATTTGCCATATGTTATTTGTCTAGTTGGCAGAATATGTGTGTATTCTGTAGTACAGGACTTTGAAATTGGCTTGATGTTTAATGTTTAATTTGGGGACGTTACAATTTAAGGTACTTTCCATTGGTTTTTATAATCCCGTTTAATGAGAATACACTTCCAATTGATTTTGATTGTCTTGTTTACAATAAATTGGCTTGATGTTTAATGTTTAATTTGGGGACATTACAATTTAAGGTATTTTCCATTGGTTTTTATAATCCCGTTTAACGAGAACATACTTCCAATTGATTTTGATTTTCTTGTTTACAATAAACTTAGCTACTAAACTGACCGCAACTCATCCTGCTCCAGGCTTCCAAAGCAAGAAGGATCCAAGTATAGGGACTATTTGCATGAAGAGAGAGTTTGGCATGAAGCAAACTCTACCAAAGAATTTGCTGGTGTTGCTGAAATAAGTGAGAAAGCTTCTGTGTCTCGCTCAATGGAGAATCATTTTCCAAAGGATGACAGCCATTTAGGTGAGTTGTCTGTAGAAAAGCGTCGGAAATCAGTTTCTCGCCCGTCATCCAATCAGCAAGTAGATAAATCCCCGTCACCATCAAGTACTGACCGCAGACACTTGAACAAATCTGAAGTTAGGCGAAGTCTTGATATGGAAGAAATAGGGCAGAGGAGTGGTGGTTTCAGGGATGCAAAAGTCAGAGGAAGTCGTGAACTGCCTATGGAGACACTTCCAGGATATGAGCTTCCCCAAGCAGATGGAGAAAGTTTATCTGTTTCTTCTCCTTTTAGTAGAACTAGTCTCTTGCCCAGCAATTCCAAGTCTTCATTACCTCCTCCTCCTCCCTTCAGGTCGGGGATTGACAATCCTTTAGCCTTTAATACTTTGGAAGATGACAACAGAGGTAAGTCAATTAACCGACATAGGAGGATGGGCGATTCCAACATGGGAAGAGCGCAAGGAAGTGGATGGAAAGGTGTCCCAAACTGGCCTTCCCCTGTGGCCAATGGATTTATGCCTTTCCAACATGGTCCACCTCCTGTTGGTTTTCATCCATTGATGCATCATTTTTCTACTCCGTCTATGTTTGGCATTAGACCTTCAATGGAATTACATCACAATGGGGTTCCTTACCATATCCCTGATGCTGACAGATTTTCAGGCCATGGACGGACACTTGGATGGCAGAATCCAGTGGATGACTCGTGCCCTCCTCCATTGCATGGTTGGGATGCAAATAATGTTGTCTTCGATGAAACTCGCATCTATGGGAGGCAAGGTTGGGACAATAATAGAACCTTGACGACGGGTCGGGGATGGGAGACAAGTGGAGACATGTGGAAGGGGCAAAACGGTGGTTTGGGCACCGAGTTGCTGGCTACTCCCCGGAAGGAGAATCATTCAGCTGGTGGACCAGCAGATGAATTTTTGACTGAAGAGTCAGGTCCGCAAGCTCACAATGAACAAAACCAACCTGGTCTTAAGGCAGAGAACTTTGACATTAATCAGTCCAATGTTGCTGTTGTTACAAACATTCTTGAAGCTCCACAAGCTCTTCCTGTAGAGAACCCCAGCATTTCTAAGCCATCAACAAAGAATGGGGATCATTTCTGGCATGTTTATCTTTCCAAGCTTGATATATCCGCAGATCTTACTCAACCTGAGTTGTTTGACCAGTGCACGAGCTTAATGGATATGGATCACAATACAAATTATGCTGAAGATAATTCTAAGATTTTATGTGTGGAGGTAAAAATGATTGCATTTTCACGTACTAGGTGTTTGGTCGGGCTAGGTCTCACCCTATTTTTATTTTGTATCTAGTAAGAAACCAACACTGGACTGGTTTGAGGCCTGTTTTGTGTCTGATTTTCTATGCGTTTTGTTTCAGCTTTATCCTTGGGTGACCTGGTTCTTGGGTGTCCCAAAATCCCATTTAATCTTTATCTTTCTCTTGTTTAATTGGTTATATATATATATATATTGATAAGTCTTGTTTAATTGGTTATATTAAAATATCATTCACATTGTTCTAATAAAAAAAATTATTTTCTCCATGTGACAGGAGGTTATGGGGGCTAAAGTGACCATTTCCAATAAAACTTCAAGCACTTCACTTTTTGCTGCCATAAATGATTCTGTTTTTCAGGTATACATGCTAGGGCTTAAATATTCTATGATTTTTGAGGGAATTAACAATTCTCGATTTAAATGTTTCTGTGTGGCACTGCAATTCTGAACTTTACATGCTGCACTTGTTGGTTGAAGTATCTCATGACATTGTCATTTTATTTTTCCCTAAAGGTATCATTGTCAAATTTTTTGTTTCTTTAACTTGTACAAAATGATACCTCACTGATTATTTATCTTTGTCAAATAATCATTTTGAATTCCAACTAGGATTTTTGCAATGTTGAATAAATCTTCCTTTCTTATGTTACTAATCTTATTGTTAACTTGCAGAAAGCCATGTCCCTTTACATGAAGCAAAGAGAAGAAATTGGGGTGATCAACGGGGAGAGAGTGCTAATCTCTAATGTGGAGAACTTGAAGTCTGTGCCGACTTCTGATCAGGAGAAAGTGGGTTCAAGTGATGATAAATTAGGAGAGCTGGATCTGGATTGTGATAGTCAAGAGGCTGAGGATTCTGTTTCAGATTTTACGCAGGACAAAGTGGAGCTGCCTAATACTTTTCAGAATCTAGAAGTATCTCCTGCAACAACCAATCAGAAGGCAGATGAACCAGTTCAGCCAGACAATTCGAAAAAATCAGAGCCACTTTTAAATTTAGGCAAGTTGCAAATGGAGGTTGATCCTGTTCGTAATCAGGAGATGCCGGAGTACGCTGTTGAGGACAAATCATCGTCTCCAGAAAATGTGGAGCAATCTGATGCTCAATCACCTGGTAAGGCTGAAGACGTGAGCTGGGCAAGTGACTCCAGAGGCAATCCTTCTGTCAATAACAACAATGAGGAACAGAAGTTGGTTGATACCAAGTCTGGTCTCTTACTTTTTTCTGATGTGTCTTGTGAGGCACGTGAGGCTGTGATGCCAGAATCAATCGAGTCTGGGTTAGTAAATTTAAGCTGGATACATCATTCTCCTGAAAGTACACATTGAACGATTTTTATATTTCCACGAGGTTTTGAAATGCCGTTATCTACGGTAATGCTTCCTATCCTATATTATGTGCTTGCTGCTCATCTTAGTTCATTAATAAAGTTTCTTGTTCTTCACATGTCTTTATGTGAATTTTCTGTTCCAAGATAGGTACCCAGCCGTTAGGTTCCTGGAATAGGGATATAGTGCACCAGAAATCCTCACTTCTTTGAATATTTTACCATGAGTAATGATACGAAGTCTGACAGTCGGATAATTCTGACCGTTTTTTATGCGAGTGGGGGCTGACGTCACTTCTCGGAGTGTAGGACTCTAAATCATTTTTCCTTTTTCCTTTTTCCTTTTTCGGTACCTTCTGCAGAACTTCTTTAGGGAACAAATAAAAGAGAAGCTATGCTTCAGTGAATTAGTTATCATTGGGTTATAAGAAAACTTCTATAGCATGCTGGTTTCAAGCCTGTTCAGGCTGTGTGCGGTTCTTTGGAGTATCAGGTATTTCTATTGAAACTGATCTGTGTATCTATTTTGTATAATGTTCAGAGTCTTCAGATTGATGTGAGTTTTGAAGAGGTTTTATTTGTTTGCATCGGCTGTTGGGAATATGGCTTAAGCCGTATCATAAAGGAATGAAAGGTGCCATTCCCTGCTGCGATGTAGCATTTCGGTGAGTTTTTTCTTAAATTGAACTATCAATTTATGATATGAATACACCACGAAGTGGTACGTGTTGCTATGTTTGGCTTAGGGTGGCAATTTATGACCTAACCCATTTAAACGCCAAGCCTGCCCGGTAAAACTGAATTATTATTATTTTTATTATTATTATTATTATTTTTTGTCATTGTGTAAAAAATTTACCCACACCACTTACACGCTCACTTTGCTCATTTGGAGACTTGAAACTTCACCATTCACTTTGGGAGGTAAAGAAGATACTATTGGGTTAAAAGACCCTTAATACTAAAACTAAATTATTTGGACACTCAAATGTAAGTGAGTGGGTCGGTAATAGGTAAAAAATAGGTACCGGGTCAATGGTAGGTTACGAGTGGAACCTATCTTATCCTATCAAACAAAACCTTTTTTTTCTCTTTAGTTTTCTCCCTTACCTGTTTGGTTTGTTTTTTTTTTTTTTTTTTTTTTTTTTCACTCTTTCGTGTTTTTTCCTCTTTCCCCTTTTTTCTTCTTCCCCCTTTTTTCTTCCCGTCCTTTTTTATTTTTTTTTCATTTTTTAAACCTTTTTTCTCTATCCTCTCTGTTTTCTCATCTCTTCCCCCTTTTCCCTCTCCTCCCTGTTTCTTATTTTTTATTTATTTATTTCTGTGATAACTCTCTCTCTCTCTCTCTCTCTCTTCCTTCTAACTTATGTTTTATTGTGTGAAAATAAATGACCAACAATTAATTAAAAGTCTTGCTCAAAACTCTTTTTTTCTATATATAATTAATTAATATTCTTGAGTAAGTTGTTTGGTGACTTTTTCTAAAATAAAAAATAAATAAAATTGTAACGTTTAAAATCAAAAAATAATTAATGTAAGAACAGTTTTTTTTTTAATTTATTTGGTATTCAACAATCAAATTGTCAAAACCTATTTGGGTCATCGAGTTGGGTGTGGGTCACTTACCAATTTAACACCTAATTCGCTTATGACCCGCTATAAATGGGCTGATAATGAGTTATTGATTCATTATTGGCTTGCACATTCATGACCAGCTCAAAACCCGTCCACCAAATTACCATTCTTAGTTTGGCGGCATTAAAAGCCTTATATTTGGTGGAGGTTTTAGAATGACGGTGTTTTGGGAACTTGATTTTTTTAAAAAAATTATTTGGGAACTTGATTTTTTTAAAAAATTTATTTGGGAATGGAATTGTCATTCCATAGATTTAATTGTGGAATGTATTTTTATTCCCAATAATGAATTTTCTTTCCAATGGAATGGTCATTCTCATTTTAAATTGTATACCAAACAAAAAATTGATTGATTCCATTCATACACATCAAACATGACATTATTATTTTTAAAAAGAAAATGAAAAAAAAAAGGAAGAGGTTAAGAAACATAATAAAAGATAAAAATTTTAAAAGAATGAATTTTGTGATGCTCTAACTCCATTTGGGACGAGAATATGACAATCGAGCCACTTTAATATTTTCGGGAACAACTCATTAATTTGTGGGTTCAGCGTAAGTTCAGCCAAGAACGTTTGAAAAACCGAGCTTAGACTTGACTTATAATCATTTTAAAAGCTTGTGTTTTGCTAAGCTCGGTCCTTGGTTACTAAAAAGTTAACTTCGGTAGGGTGAGTTTGAAGGAGAAGGATAACATTAGTTATGAGGGAAAGGGAATGGAAGGATAATTTTAATTTGGTATTGTATTTGGTTGACTAATGAAAAAAAAAAAAAGGAAGGATAAGAATCATGTTTGAGGAAAGAAATGGAAGGATAGGAAGGAGAATTATTTTAATAAATTTACTATTATGCCCTTTTATATTGTAAAAAATATATATATATATATATTTGTCTCGTAGGAAAATTTTTTATAGGGCAAATCATTTCAGCCTCCATTTTTTTAGGGCAAATCATTTCAGCCTCTATTCTCGTTCTCAACTCCATCTCTCTATTCTCGTTCTCAACGCTGAACTTCTCTCTCTCTCTCTGCAACTACAAACTACTACAAGAATTAGAAGTTCAAAACCCATATATTTCAGTTTATATATTTGTCTGCAAGAATCAAAACTTCAAAACCCATATCGGCATCATTTCAGATTGTTCAAAAAATCAAAACCCATATCGATCAAAACCCATATCAGTTTCCATCGCCTGCTGTTCCAATTCGGGTTCGCCGTTCGCAAGCAAGCTTCGCCGTTCTCAACTCTCAAGCTTTCCCTCCTTTCTCTCTCTGCAACTGCTAAATCAACTAATCAAGGGCAAGATTGGCATCTGAAATCACACATTAAGCCTTTCCTTCCCTTTCCTTTCATTTCCTCCCATTTTTGGGAGGTTAAGAAATTTACTGTTGAAGGCACCAGTTAACCCTCGAAACCCTTCCCTTTCCTTCCAACAATTTTTGCCAAATACAAATTTTTAATCTCCCTCCATCACCTTCCCTTCTCTTTCCTCCCATTTCCACTCCACCAAACTGACCCTTCAATATAAAATTCGGTGTTTGGGCTCGTTTTTAAGATTGTTTTGACTTGTTTATGCACTAATATGACATATGTTTGTGGACATATTTATGAGCTTGGGTAATACAAGCCTATATTTATAAATGTGTTCATGATATATGCAAGAAGTATGCGAGCCTATATGAGTGCAGTGTTCTTGAGTTGAGCCTAACAATGTTTAGGATTGATGTGTTTATTAAATGAGATCAAATTCTGACCCGTTTACGAGCTGAACTTTAAACAAACCGATTTCGAACTATTTAGAAATTGATTGGTTCATTTGGAGCTCAATTTCATGTTAAAGTGAACTTATGTTAGATGTTTCTATCTCACATTAAATCTAAATAAAAAAAAGTTATGAACGATTCAAAGTAGTATAAGAATAAGTGTCATGCCAAGTGCTTAGATGACATTCGAATTCGGATAAACAAGTGTTAGACCCATTACAAAAACAAGTGTCAGACCTGTTACAAACTATCACTCCAAATAATTCCATCCATCAAGTGCGATGACTTGGGTCATCAAGTATATATGGGATTATTACATATAAATGGTGCTAATGATTCATATTTATCATTTAATGGAGTCAAAGTTTCGTAATTTCGAAAAAAATGAAGTTGACCAAAATGCTGACGTGAATATGAAAAAACACTGTTTATCCTCACTGAAATACCACTTTTAGGCACATAGGTACTACTTTTTGCACACAGAGATATCACTTTTTGTGTATCAGGTACAACTTTTATTTTGGACATAGAGGTACCACTTTAATTCACATAGGTATTACTTTTTGTACACATAGATACTACTCTTTGTGTATCGGAGTACCATTTTTTTGTGCAAAAAAAAAAAAATAGTATCTAATGACAAAATGGTATCTACATGCACAAAAAGTGATACCTATGTGCTTAAAAGTGGTACCTCAATAAAGATAAACAGTATTTTTTTCATATTTTTATTTTTTTAAAATTATAATACTTTGACCCTACTAAATAATAAATATGAATTATTATCACCATTTATAAGTAATAATTATATATAATGATGATCATCAAGTATATATAAAGATAATGCTATAAATAGTGGTAGGGTTGACAAATGATGGAATCCATCATTCTTGTGAGAGACTCATTTATATCGACTCACCTAAGAATCATTAAAAAAGGGTTATTGATTGAAACCGTATAAGGGGGAGAGAAATCTATATATTACTGAACTTTAAACAAAGGTTAAAACCCAACAAAGGTTGAAAAATCTAAATAACGGGAGAATCGATCATTACTCTTGTTGTAATTTGTAAAAAATAAAAAAACAGTATTTATCTTAGCCTATATCGTATGGCCCTAAATACAAAAAGCCCCAAATGCCCAACTGCCAGCTGTCCGCTGCCAAAACGAGCGGGGGTAAAACGGTCTACTTGAACTAAAGTAAACCTACACAACCGGTCACCGAGTACCGACCAGTCATATCATTTAGCTTTCGTTGCTGCGTCAAACACTTTCCGAGAAGACAAGCCAACTCTCATTAGCAGCAACTCAAAAAGGTTCCAATCCAAACTATCTCTCTCTTTTTATTCGCCTCCCTAATTTAATGTATATCATTCGATTATACAATCTGCAATTTATTATATGTCGTACATAGTTCGTTGCTCATGTATCGGTCTCATACTTTTAATTCTCTTGATGTATGTAAGTTCTTTAATGAGTTGAGAATCTAAGGTTTTATGTACAGATCATGGATCTTCTTGGTTCTGGAGGGTTGAAGGAGAAACATATTGTTGTTTATATATATGTGATGGATTATAATATATGTAATATGTATACATGTTTTGGACTAATACAATTTCTTATAATTCACAATGTTGTTGCATCTCAACTTTGTGATTATTTACCTTTTTTTTTTTTTTTTTTGGGTTTTAGCCACTGATGGTTTTGCCTATCTATGGTATAAATATATTGTAGCAAACAAGGATTGTAAAAGGTTTATGTTAATCCAGATTTAGACTAGATGGACCATTATGGATTAGGGGATTTGTGGAGTCTTTTAGTCTGGATCTAAGTAGCGAGAGCGTGAAAGCGGAAAAATCTAGGCGGGAGCTCGGAGCGTGAGAGAGGCACCGGTTTAGAAGAATTGTGGACTGGATGAGGCTTTGTCAAGTTCCTCCGGGTCTCCAAGGTCCAAGGATGTTGTGTGCATGAGAGTTGAACTTCTTGGCATTAACATCAGACTTTTACACTAGTGTCTGATTGATTAAAATTTGTTTGTAAAATTCCAGAATTTATTTTTATGAATTTGATTATGTGAGGACTGTTTAGAGTAAACCTTTGCAGGTGTCTGTTTCGATATCTCTCAGATTCTTTCTAGGTTCCTCACTTAACTTATTGTAGTAACTTTCATCAGGCATTCTTGTTCTTCTTTAAATGTTGATGTTGCTTACCATTAAGCTCTGTATGGTATGGTGGATACAAAATTAAAGTTGAAGGAAACATAGGAGGAGCGAAGTAGGTAACTCACCCTTCTTTTTTTTTTTTTGGTATGGTATGGTGGATACAAAAGGAATGGGTATTGTGTGGTTTTACCATTATATCATTACATATAGAAGGGATTTTTTTTAAGGTAAAAGCATAATATAGAACATGGGGAGCCATTCCTATCGTCTTTTCCTCCGACTTTGGAGGGAAGAATACAATGGGCCTGAAGGGAAAGGATTCCCCCTCCTCTTTTCTCTTTCTTTTACCATTCCATCTTACCGCATACCATGGAAACTCTATTGTTTGCTTCCCTTTTCTCTTCCTCCGCATTCATCCCTCGTGCACTTTATTCATATCAATTAGATCACTAGTGAAGATAATTTCACATCAAATCTTCCCAAATTTCTTGGCTTGTTAGTTTTTGTTTTTGTTTTTTTTGTTTTGTTTTTTTTTTTTCCCGAATGGTAAAAGCAAACACACACACCCTTTTTGCCTACGTCCGGGCTCGAACCCCTCCCCTCCTCTTTAAGGATAGGGAGATTATACCGCTAAGCCAAAGGCCCTTTGGTGGGTTATTAGTTATTACCAGCACCATATTAACTCTATTTGTGGCTGAAATAACAGCTATCTCCAAGTTTCGGCTATTTGTCAAGCTTATTCACTATCTGGAACTAGAAGTATATCCTACTATATCATCTTCTTGATGGTCTTTAATTTACAAGGTGATATTCCCTGGAGAGTTGGGATTCGATGATAGTGGGGTAGACTGTAGAGAGAGATCTGGCAGTGGGAGGCCTAAGATTGTGAGTTCCAATCCAAAGGCTCTCAAAATTTTAAGAAGAATATCATATGTAAATGACTTCATGCCCTTGTATATCACTCCTGAGGACGTGATGCCTTGGAGAGCCCAATGTCAATGTAGCTAGGGATGCCAGTCTTCAGAGGAGTGTCGTTGTTGGTCTAGTAAACTCACTGCATGTGCCATATGTCAGGGAGATGACATCAGCTCTCCCTCTCATTCAAAAAGGCCAAAGCAGATACCATGCAGGGCTATATGGACCACCTTGGCTCAAATTTAGCCACATGGCATCTTTGGGATCATGAAGCAGCGGATATCTAGGTGGCAACAACTAAATGGACCTTTTATCAGGATGCATTAAAAGGTTAAAATATTGAGTACAGATTTTCAAACAACTGACCTCTTAATTTGAAATTTTTGTCTAGTGGAATGGAGTGGAGAATATAGCTTAATTACGCATAGAAGAAACATCTTGTACTTCATTCTTGGAAGTTTGTTTTGATACGTGATTAGTCTTGTCCTGTTCCTCCAGCAGTGTATATCACTAGCTTATGGAGTAGAGTATCTGCATTTAGCTAAATGTGACTGATCATGTCAAATGCTGAATTTGATGTAAGCTAATATATGAAAGTGGATTTCACATCACATTCACATTCACATTCACATTCACATTCTCATTTTCATTTTATTTCTTATTTTAGGTTCGCACACCTTCTTCAAGAAGTGAAAGTTAACTTAATGGGTGATGGTCATAGGAAGGTAGAATTCATTCCAGATCACTTTCAAGCTTCAACATCATCTGTGGACTCTCTTCCAAAGAAAACTTCATCTATTTCGCATTCAGAAACTGATACCTCTTCCAGGTTTTCTTTTTCTTGATAAAAAACCTAGTACGGTGATAATTAAGGAAAGGAAAGAACTTAGATTTTTTGAGTTGAGTCTCGGTTTAGTTCCTTATTTTGCTTTAGGATAGGTCCAACAGCCGTTTGTGGGCTCGAAGAAAACTCAGAAGTGCTGCAGCCATGTTGAACTTGTTTAGTCTACAGAAGCTACCTTGGGGATCTGGTTCTGATTGTCAGGAAAAGGTTTATTATATATTTTCATTTATATTACCAGTCTGCATTCTTGTAAGTTCCATTTCCATAACAACCTTAACCATTTTGACTGGTAGGTTGTGCTAACAGCAGTAGAAGTAGGATCCCTTCGATCGGAACTTGCTGATATAGAAGAAAGAGAAGCACATTTGAAAGCTAAGTAAGGAAAAGTTGATGATTGTTTTTTGAATTTGATATGCTTTTTAGCTTTCTTAATTTTCTTTTCTTCTTATTATTATTGTTGTTGTTGTTTTTATTGTCCTTATCGTTCTATAAAATTCTAGTCTAGTTTTGATAGTGCCTTGGTACATCAATTATGTAATTTATTCTCAACCAGTTTAATCAGTGGATTGGGGATCCCATGTGTTTTAGTTGGTGGCCTCGTAATAAAATCACGAGATTGTCTTTAATCTGGTGCTAGTTTGTGAATGTTTTGGTTTACTTATCTAAGTTTTAGGATGGAAATGAGTTCAGGAAACTGTTTGTGCAGTATATGTGGTCCGTATAGCAATTTTAGAGAGCTTTTTCATCTTGTCTGACTTAGTATTTATGTTCATAAGCTATATGCCATTTATAAGGTCAGCTTGAGAAGTTAACTGTCAAATTTTGTGAAACAGTCTCCTACCGTGGTTTTGTTGGACCTTTACGCCTTTACTGCTGTAGGTAAACGGGAACTTCTTAGGTCCATGGTACTACAGTACTTTCCGATGCCTTGAGCTTTTACCAATCTCTCCACCAGGAAAGCTGATTACTATATATTTTTCTAGCTGAACTTAAATGGACAGGAAAAGTAATCTTTCTGCAAATTTCAAGAAATTGGTAATAATTTATAGTCACTAAGTTCACACTCTTTTTCTTTTTGAGGGACTACTACTTTGAACCATAGTCACATTACTTTGTGACACGTTCCCTTTTACAAGCGAACCACATGACTTATTCATATTTTTCTCAGGAAACAAATATATTTGAATATAAAACTTATGGATTGCGGAGGTATATATTTCTACTCTAGAAAGATCTCCCTGTTGTTATTCCTTGTTGAGACCAAAGGCAGTTAGAATTTTTTTACTTAGTTGTGTTATATGATTATATCTGCTCTCTCTCTCTCTCTCACACACACACACACACACACACACTTGCACTCTCTCCAAGAAGAAAAGAAAAAAGAAAATATATACAAGTATATACTTACAATATGTTTTATATTTTATTCTAAGATCTTTATTTATTTATTTATTTATTTATTTTTTGTGTATTTGCCAACGTATTGACTTTGATATTGCAATTTCACTCTATTTATTTCTATTTTCTCTGCATGAGTACTTGAGCTCTTCTCTTTTATACAGGTTGGAACATCTTGATGAAATTCTACGATCTGCTCGTTTGTCTGGTTATTTGAACATTCGGACTGTATTATCTTCGTCTCCCCTACTTCTACTTTGTGCTAGTTTTGACTTTTTAAAATGCACTAGTTTGTGCATGTTTAATACTTTATTGATGTTTTTCTATATTTTTTCTTTGATAGAGATGGACAGCATTGCCTGGAGAACCCCTTCCCATTGATGATGCTGATGTCGACGACCGGCTGCCACGCTTCGTTGTCCTTCATGGGTCATGCATCTTCTTCTATCTGTTGTCCACAGGTGATTGAATTATGAAAAAACTTTGGATGTCCAGTGTCGTTTATACTCTTTAGTGTTTTCTTATAATTGTATGTAACATTTGGGTATTACGATTGATACTCAGCTGCATTACATGAATGTACTAAAATAATCATCATCCACATTGCCTTTATCCAATTTGAATGGGTTCAGTGACATGAATTTTCTTTTTCCATTTCTTTTTACTACAAGCCATTTCTCATATTATTTTAATTTATAAAATTATATCTAATAAGTAATAACTTTTTCCCATGTATATGCTGAACCAAAAAATTGATATTGTTAAATTTACTAATGTTATAAACTTGTAATGATTTAGACCATACAACCTGTATACTATTAGTCAACGATGCCATGAGAACAGGTTCATTTCTCCCACGTTGAAGCATTTGAACCTTTCTTCTACATGTACTGTGTGAAGGACAGCTGATGGTGTATGGCATTCAGCCAAGAGCTATTTGATGTTGCTGCAATGACACAAACTTTTGGTTTTAACGGTTGAATGCATGATGGTCTTACATTTTTTTGCCTTTTCTTTCAATAATTAACTAATAGTGCATAGTAATATGGTAGAGTAGGATTAACTGTGCTTATATAACAATATTCAAGATTTATACCGTAATATTAATTATACACTCTTAGATGTTCTATTTACGGATTACATGTGTTTCTTTTCCAACTTCAGTTTATCATCACTTTGTTTATTTGTTTGCCCCCATTTTTATTTTTCCAATTATTTTGTCAGATCATAAGGATTGTCTGGTTATATTGATTTTGGATAAGGCAGTAAATAGCCTTGCATGGGAATTCAATATGGTGGTCTGGGCCTCATGTGTACCATATATCAAATTTATATTACTCAAGTAATATGTATATTTCCTCTTTGCTTGTGGGCATAAAATTACTTCTAATGAAGTTAAGAAACTACTTTGCAGATTTGAGCCCTCAGGACTCGACTCTACTCTCTGATGTTGTTGAATTAGGTCCTCTCCCAAGCTTTACACGAGAAGACGAGGAGACACAATATTCTTTCTATATATTAACTCGTCAAGGACTCCGGTACGAGTGTTCAAGTGTCTCTAAAATACAGGTATGTTCACCATTTCATCATTTTTTAAAAAAATTATTTGGAGAAGATATTGAATGCAAATTTATAATTAATACCTTATGACTGGACCAACATTTAGAATTGACTCGTGCATCAATTTTAAAACTCGATAATTAGTTGTCAATCTATGTAGCAATGCAAGTTTTGAAGCATGAATATCCAAATTATCAAAAAAATTGGGGAATGAGTTTTGATTTGATAAGCCAAGTTCTGTGCTCAAGCTGCTCTTGGTTGCATTGATTATAAATCCACTTTGGAATGGATAATGAATTTCAAAATATTGTGACAATAGATATGATCTAGTCATGACTTGTGAGTAGATCATGATGGAAATAAGACATTTTGTGAAAGTGTTATCCAAATATTTGTCATTGTGAAAATGTTTATTGAATCTGCATTTTGTAAAACCATTATAAATTCCAATTTGATTGATGATAGCTTCTAGATTGCATATCTCAAATGGTAAAATTATATTTTGTTACCGTACCATACAACTCTCTCTCCCTCTCTATATATATCTAATATACGTTAAATGTTAAGTATTTCAGAATGCTTAAATCTTAGCATTGAATTGAAGTTTGTATTTGTTGCGTATTATTTGACATGTATGGTTACAAATGAATGTTTTTCGTTTTTAATTTTTCGTTACTCTTTTCAGGTGAGCTCTTGGTTGACTGCATTACAAATTGATTGCAAATTGGACCCCAATAAAATGGCTCTTACTGATTCAAGTTAGACTTCAGAATATATACATATTTGTAGATATGTCCTTTGAAATAAAGTGAGAGCATAGATTAGCTATGTGAAATTTGTACATAATGTTTCTGTACATATATATAGATGCATTCTAACAAAATAACAAATCATTGTATTGAATCAGTTGGACGTGCTAATGATCTTTGTAACCTATTGTTCTAATGAGCTAAGAACTTCTGACCACGTGATCCAGTAAAATACTCCTCTTTAAACTTTTGTATGGTCAAGAACATGATGAGTGCTTAATACAGGGATTTGGTGATGGATTACCAAAATTTTGTGTTTGTTGGATTATGAATGCGCTGCAGCTTAATTTAGGAATCTTAAGTTTTTGTTATAGCCTTGGCCTATCTCCTTTAGTATGACAAGTTCGGGGTGTTAGGGCTTCAGTGCAATTTAAATCGAGAATGCAATAATGCAACTCCAGTAACGATGTAGAAACTCATGCTTGTAACACTGTTAAATTGAGATGGTCTGATAGGCTTGCTGGTGTGTGTGTGTGTGTATAGGCTTGCTGGTGTGTGTGTGTGTGTGTTGGGGGGGGGGGGGGAGAACACGGACGGGATTAGTATTTTAGATGAACTGTAACTCTTTTAAAAGGGCACATAATTTATGTTTGTGCTCTGCTGTGGGAGGAGCATCCTCTCTCTTGCAAAATGCCCTCACAAAATTTCTATTTTTTTTAGCCCTTTTAGACATATAGATGGCAAATACTTCTGTCCAAGCTTTACCATTGCATTTAAAATGATTTTATTAGGAATCATAAATGATCTTAAATTCATACTATTTACAAATATTTTAAAATCATATGAAGCAAATTAGTGAGTAGAGTGTCCGATTTTCTCTGAGCCTCCAAGACTCTGGTGCTTTTAAAATTGAAAAAAAATTAATTCAAAATTGAAATTGAAAATTTTCTAATTTCAAATCAAATGTGTCGAAAAAGAAGTGTTCACAATACTAGGAAAATCAGAAGTAATGAAAGAGTATTGTAGATGGAACTTGTCAAATCCAAATAAGGTAATATATAAAAATTACTACTAGTTTTTGGACTTGAAAATAAGTCTTTTATTTATTTTTAAAATTTTTTTTCAGTTACAAATGCATCAAAACATAAAAGAGATATATATAACAATATCAAAGTAAGTTGGATAAATATATGGCCATCCTAAATGTAAAAAGAAAATGATATAGCGTTTGAAAGTTAGATGTATTCGACTATTGTATGTGAATGAGAAATAACGTCACATTAATACATTCTAATGCGTTCGACTTTTGAACACTGTATTAAAATGCGTCACATCAATGCAATCTAACGCGTTCGATTTTTAAACATTGTATTAGAATGCGTCCGACTTTTAAACACTGTATCACTGCTCAATATATTATATTAATGTTTTCTACGAAGACATCTAATTAATGAGCCCAGCACCTTGAGGTCTGAAGTGGTTCCTTGCCCCCCGCCGCTGCGGCTTAGAGAAGCCTATTTTTTGTTTCTACCTTGTAACCTCCAAGTTAAAAAATTTAAATATAACAGGGGGGGAGGGGGGAGGGAGGGTTGGTTAATGGCAGAGACAAACCTAAAATATTATGTGAGAAGGGCAAAAGTGAAATTTTATTTATACTTTCAAGGAGGACAACATTAAAATTTTATAGATATATAATTCAAAAAAAGAAAATTCACTAGATAATACTAAAAAAGAAATTTCAATAGGGCAAAAGTTCTCACTGACTGACCATGCATTAAGTTGGTGCCTAACTAACGGAGTGCACGACTCTCAATCGTTGCAGAGTAAGAAATTCAAATGTACACACCATTATTTCATATGTCATGACCTAGGTCATTATATATGATTTTTAAGTCTAACAAAAAGAATATACTATTAAAATTCTTGCATGAGGATAACAGAAAAGAAATATGCTATTGAAATTCTTGCAAAAGAAAGATTTATTTATTAATTTTCAGAATAAAACTGGGACAAAAAAAAAAAAAGAAAAAAAAAAGAGGGGAAAATCCGGAGTTTGTTCCTGTACGTGCAGAGTGTATACGTAATTTAAGCCGACGTTCAATATTCTAATGCCACATGGCATATCCGACACGAACCACATACAAAACCTAGATAATGATGACGTGTCGTGTTTGATTTGGGTAACAGAAAAGCCTTAGCTGTCACACGAAGCTCAGATCCTACCTCAAATTCACGTGCGAATACGTAAGCTTTGCGGTGTGTTTAGGCGGACTTGAAATTTAATCACAACGAATTGTAGTCGTCAGTTGATTAGGATTTGAAGTCCGCCGATCCTACGGTCCTCTATATATACGCGTCTTCTCTTAGCCGTTTATTCGTTTTGCGTCGCTTACCGAGGAAGAAAGTCTTTGTTCTTTTTTAACACTCGAATTGCCTGCGCTGTTCTTGTTCTAACTCGAAACCCTAACCCTAATTACACCGGAGTTCTCCGTTCGACTATCTGCAGGTGAGTTTTTTTTTTTTTTCCCTTTTAAGTTCCTCTTTTTTTCTCCATACGTGTGATATGACAATCTCTAAATATCAATATATACCAGCACACACATATACACATGCACGTGTGTATATATAGTGTGTATCATGTGGCTTGTGTATTTCTTCTGAGATGCGTTTGATTGATGTGTTTATTTGATTAATTAGAGGTTGCTGAGGTCAGTGGATCTGGAATCACTAGGTTTTGTTTTTGGATATACTTTGTTTTTGTTTCTCGACTAATTTTCTGGTAATTGTCCTTTGGTTGCCTAGAAAAACGAGGAAAAGAAAAAATAAAAGATTAAAAAGATTGGTACTTCGCGATTTATTTGTTTTCAGTAACATGGAAAACCTAAAGATTTTACTACTTTTTCATAGCAACTGATTTTTTTTTAGTTGGTAGTCCCACACACATGCCTCCACTTAGGCGTGAATCCTTTTACCTTTGATTTTGTTGGTTGACATTAGCGTATAGGGTTTATTAGACTTGATGTAATTTATGGTATTTAGTGTGTTTTACCCGTAATTGAAAGATAATAATTGATGCTTGATAATTAGGTCATAGGACATAATAGTTTTCTTGGGTATTGAAATGGCAATGGGCTTCCCATTTTTTTCCTTTTATACTTTTAAAAGTGGCACCAATTAAGAAGTTTGTGGATAACCTTGCTTCTTTTGTCCTTTCTGTGGCACTTGCATTTGTTTATTTTGTGCCTAGGGCACTTTTCTTGAAAATTTTCTAGTGAATTTCTTTAAAGGTTTCATTTGTCTTTAATGAATGTATATTTTTCTATAACATTTAAGATGTTCTTGGTAAGGCAGGGCAAGAAAGCAAGGAAAGGAAATTTCATGAAAAAAAATAGCTCCCTTGTTAAGTTCTTTTAATATATTTCTTAACCTTCATTGTTCTCTTTGTAAAATGTTATTGATTTCTCTTTTCCTTTATATCAATCATTTGGTCATGTGTATTGGGAGAATTTCTGTCTTTTCTAGTAGAAAATGTCATTACATACTTGTAGTATCTTTTCTAAATGTCTTTGTAGGTTTTAGCCTATTTTTGTTCATTATTATCTGTTTGCCTGGTTGATTGATTATCATAGTATCTTTCATATGTTTCTTATATGCAGTTTATGTTTCTTGTAAGATCTGTCGTTCTACTATTTAAGTTGGTTTACCTTATTCCTTCCTTCTTCCAGATGGCGGCTAAACCACTAACAACTGAGGCAATTGCTCTCACGGAGAAGAAAATGGACATGGCATTAGGTGTGCATATTAGCAACTCCTTTATTCTGCATTTATTTATAAATTTGACGATCTTTTAATGATTATTAAAAATTTGTTACTCTGTTATTCTTGATTTTTAGATGATATCATTAAAATGTCCAAAACTACCACAACTAAAGCTAAGAAGCAAAGAGTTTCGGTAAGGAATTTTCCTTTTTGAAAGTACCGTTAACTTATTTGGTCCTGTGCTTGGAATAAGTTTTCCTTACTGCTTTTATTTGTTAATTCATACAGAATAAAAGTCAAAAAAATTTAAACACCGCTGCCCAAGAAAAATCTGCCAAAATGCGAAGATTTATGGACTCAAGATCCTCTCTTAGACAGGTGAACATGTGATTGTGTACATTTGCTTAAACTTTATATATATATATATATATATATATATCATTTTGTTTGTGTTTATATGGTTCTCTTTTTTGTGTAGGGGGCTCTTGCTCGGAGGAGGTCGAACTTCCAGGGGAACCAATTTCCTCTGGCAACTGAGGCTGCACGAAAGGCTGCGGTTGTTCCTTTAAACAACAGACCTTTCAATCGAAGCAGGGCGGTCAATATAAATAAATCAAGGTATATGATGCCATTATTATGTTTACTAATGGTGTGATATGAGGCAACTGTGACTATGATGATGTTTAGCAAATGATTTGATGTTAATCTAGCAAAAATTTTGGTTTTGTTGCAGGTAAACCATGGTTCTTCTCTGATGGTGGCTTTGCCATGTGTTTCTGGTTAATATATATATAGAAAATAGCATACTGTGGGACTCGTCTTGGTTGGGTGTAAACCATGGTTCTTCTCTGATGGTGGCTTTGCCATGTGTTTCTGGTTAATATATATAGAAAATAGCATACTGTTGATGGGACTCGTCTTGGTTGGGTGTAAATCATGGTTCTTCTCTGATGGTGGCTTTGCCATGTGTTTCTGGTTAATATATATAGAAAATAGCGTACGGTTGATGGAACTCGTCTTGGTTGGGTGCAGCGGAAAGCTCCATTATGCGAGTTGCAATGGTTTACTGTTTACTTTTTGGCATCCAAAATAAGCATCCATACATTTGTGCTGGATATTTGTATTTTATGTTGTTGGGCAATGGGTTGAGAAGTGCATGTAGCTACGTCCCGAATTTGTTGGATGCTTAAGGAAACGAGAAATGATGAAGAAAAGGGTATTAATGTGACGGTTAATTAATTGTGCATCCATTTGATAGACGAGAGTCAACATAATGTTATGATGATAGAATGACATCTGATGGTGATAACGACATAATACATTTAAGTTGCTCATCATAATCCATTGTGATCTGGAGGTCGTAGGTTCGAATCAAGGAAACAACCTCTCCACATGCGTAGGTAAGGCTGCGTACATGTGGCCTTCCTCAGACCCCGCAATAGCGAGAGCCTCGTGCATTGGGCTACCCCTTTTTTTTTGCTCACTGCATGGAAGGATAGATCTTTTTTGCATTTTGCAGTTGTTAACTGGGTAGTGATTTTCTTGAGGTTGGTTATTGTGGTGAGCATTAATGCGTAGCATCTTATTTGGAGTGTCCTGGTTTTAAATATTGTTCAATTTGAAGACTTACCCACTTGCGAGCATCTGTATCTTCGTGAAGAGTTCTGTTGCTTTTTTGCTTGTGCTGTTAGATCGTCGACATATGATGCGCAACAAGTCTGGTTGGTTTGTTCATTCCGCTTTAGACTTACAAACATGCGACCAATTTGGCCTACAAGCTTCCACTGATGCATTTTGGCTTATCTTCTAATTGGGAATATATTCATACAGATAAGAAACTTCATCCTTTGTCATGTTCTGTCAGTAATTCAAGGGCCCTGCTATTAATAACATGCCCAGTTTATGCTCCACAGTAGAGCATGCAGAAAATTCCTCTGCCATCACGTGTTTCTATCTTCTGCCACATTGATAATGGGCCTTGTCTGATTTCAGGCACCTTGATATGGAATTGACCCAATTAATATTGGACTTTGAAATGGTTTATTCTGGCATACCTAACATGATTTAAGCTCTTCTGGCCTCCATAAGAAGTAATATTGTGCACAAGATTATCAAAAGGAAATTTTGGGGGGCTAGGTGGAAGTATATAAATAGCATGACATGTAGGGCGTTGAGAGTATTATATTATATCAGGAACCTGTAGTGGTTAGTGGCTTGATCATCTTTTACTAGAGTTACATATGTTAGCTGGTTAAAGGTGTTTGGCTTCTCTGCAAGTGAAGCTTAAGTTGTGCATGAAGTTGATTATGGAGGCTGTTCGGTGGAAGATCTCCTGTATCTTTGACCACTCATGAGAGTGACATATCTTTTCCCCCAGTTCTGCTGTTCTGTGGAGGTTTGTTGTTCTACAGGTTTTGGTTACAGCAAATACATCTTTAATGTGACAACATCCATTCACATGCTCAATTAGACGGAAGCTTGCAGTAGTAGTAAATTGTCCTGAAGATGACTGATCTTCTCTTATTTCTGATATACTATGTCTTATCTTTCTGTTAGTTGGAAATAGGTAGAACTTCTATGATGGTTGTCATCCAATTGAATCTGTATGCCATGGTGGTTCTAACAACTGATCAATGTTTGTGTTTGGCAGCCTGGGTGGTGATTTATCTTGCAGAGTTTGTTTTTTAGGAGATTCTTTATTCCAGTCTTACCATTGTAGTTTGCTCTCTCTGTATGCAGGGTTGGGGCTCCACCAGTTCAAAGGAAGGCTGCAAATGGTCGCTTTGCTCTAAAGGTAGTAGCATCTTTTAAATTTTGCATTAACTGGAAGGAAAATGTTTGTGTAGAGTCAACCTCTGAGGAGGATGCCAATTGCATTAATATGGTAGCCTCTTGAATTTGTGAAGACGCCTATTGCATTTATTTGTTATAGCCTATGTAATCTATGATTCTGTGGTTCAAATGTATTGCCAGTTCTTTTTTCATTTTCTTAATTAATGTTATGTATATATATATTTACATATATATCCTCCCCTCTCTCTCTTTGACAGGGTTAAACAAAGTCACGGTTATTATCATTTTTCATCCGGTTTACATGGTTATTATGATTTTTCATCCGGTTTACATGGTTTTTTTTTCTAGGCAATGTTTTAGGTTGTGGGTCAAGTATGTTTATTGGACACCACCAGGTCTAAGACACTGTTGATTGTTTGATACGTATCCTTGTGTGCCACAGTAGGCAAAATGATTGCAGTTGTTTTAGTATGTTAAGGATAATATTTTACAAGGCTTGTATGTTTATTATGCAGCAGCAGTCACAACAGCAATTGAAGGTGGTGCCTAAGCAGAGGCCTCAAACATTGGACTCGTTGTTTGCAAACATGAAGGAGCAGAGGATGAGGGTTTTGTCTCAACAGAGCAATGGAGGGAGACAAAATGGAGGCGGTCGGCAAAGACAGCAGTGGGGAAGAGGAGGAGGAGGAGGTCGATTTGGCAACTGATACCAGTTACTCTACTCATGCATGGCTTGATTGGGATCCTTGATTTCTGACGGGAGAATCTATGTGGTTTTGGAAACTGAAGGGCAGAACCCAGAATTCTGTCTTTCATGTGTTTTATTTTCAGTTGTTTTGGACTAGCACTGTATAGCTTTCTGTCTGTTGGCACATTATGCCTCAGATTGTTCTTTCTGACTTTAGATGTGATCTATTTGAGAATTTCCTTTACGTTAGATGCGACCTATTTGCCTTTGTGAATGCTGAGATTGATTTTCCTCTCTCTTGGCAACCAAGTGCATGCTAGAAACCTAATTTTCTTTTTCATTTTCTACTATTAATTTCATTTCATTTCTCAAGCGATCCTAATAGAAAATTATTAAACTTTATAAGTAACTTTCTTACACAATTTTGAGAAAATTTACTTTCAAAATGTATGAAATTTCAATTTTACCTGATACCGATAAATCCGCAGTACAAAGTTTATATCTCTCATTGTGTTCCACAATTATTATTTTTATTTATTTAGATAGATTTTTATATTGCTTTTATTTTTTAAAAACATAATATTATTCAATATATTTTTTTAAAACCAATTGTTATATTTAATAAAAATATGGACAATTTAGACAATCATGAATTATCCAAACTATTAAAGAGACTTTTCCTGTTTTTTAATTTTTTTTTATGCTAATCCAATGAATCCTTGAAAAAAAATTATAATTTTTTCGTTAGCTTCACTTATATTCATTTTGTTTTTTTATGTTCAGAAATTTAACAATAAGAGATAGTATGGATCATTAAAAGAGAGTACAGATGGGAGAAGATGACTTTAACAATTTGTATGATAAGTCCTGCATTTAATGAAGGGAAATGAGCAACTTAAGGGTGTCGAGGAAGTTGTTTAACAATCATAGAGATTTCCTTCACTCTCATTCGCGGGGTTTCATGTTTCAAACGAAATTTATAATAATATACAGGGTTAAGTGCAAAAAATGTGGATATAGTGTAAAAAGGTTTTGTGTGGTATAAAACTCTCATATACTTTTAATTTGGTGCAAATAGGCCACTGGAGACTTAAAATGACAATAATACCCTCACTTCAGTTGAACAAAGTAATTACTATAAATACAGGCCATGTAAAATGACCATTTTGTCCAATTTGTATAAGATTGCGTTTGTTTGGGACAAGAATAAAATAAATCTTAATTTGTATAAAATTGGGATAAACTAAACCAAACAAACCTAAAACCAAATTTAATAAAAACCAAAACCAAACAGTCCCCTACTATATAAGACCACCTTAAACCAATTTTTAACCCCAAAGTGAGAAAATGTATTCTCATAAGAGATGCTGATAGTCTATATTTCTATCAGTTGAAGTCTTGTCCAGGCTCCCTCATGGGTGTTCTGAAAGTGCTAAGATGAGAAAGGCTCTACATTAAACTTCGTGAAGATATTCATATCTCCATTCATGATTTGTAATTGCTGAACTGTGTTACTCTTATTGTCCTGTGATGTATCTAAATCTGTAGCAGTTTCACTATTCATCAAGGGAGCTTATGGCAAAGCATTCCAGAGTCTCTATTTATTTCCAAGGATCTGGAGCAATTGACACAATAGTTTTTCTTATGTTATTTACCCACAAATCTAAACCATCATCTGTTCCAAATGCAAAGCCTTTGGTCATGCCACCCAGCTCTTGGCTGTCTAAGATGAATATGTATTTGACACCCTACGTGGAAATGAATGTGAATAATTTACCCATCCATATGCATATAGCTTGTATGCTTGTAATTCCTTTTAAGAATCAATCATATGAGAGACAGATGCCGCAACCCGCACAATTGGCAACAGTCCACACACTAGCTTCGGATCAGAGGTGAGAAAGGGAGGAGATGGCATGTTTGGAGTAAATGAATAATTATTTTAAGACAAAAATAATATAAATAGTCTGCAATTTTATATGTTGATATGGAGAAAAAATGGGACCAAAAAGGGTAGCATATGATTTTTATATTTACTTTTTGTCAAAAATAACTAGAGGCAAAGAGACTTATTTGCATCTTTTTTTGAATTTTATAGACTGAAATGCACATTTTAATAAAGTAGGGGCTATTTGTGCACAAAACCTATATTACAGGGATTTTTTTTGCACTTAATCCTAATATATATATATATATATATATGTAGATATCCTCTCTCTTAGTATATGTTAGGATGCATTTTAAATTAATGATTAAAATGTGGTGTCTAAAACTTTTCATCTAAATATCTATTTATATATTTAAAAATTCTACAAATTCTCTATTACTATAAAATATTTTTCAATCTACCAACTTCTAAAGACAATTAGACACAAAATTATGATTTTTCATGGACACTCTTCATTACAAACAAGACTCATAATAATATATATGTAGATATCCTCCTTAGTAGATGGTTAGGATGTAGTAGATGGTTAGGATGTATTTCTAGAACTTCTCATCTAAATATTTAAGATTTTAAAATATTTTTCAATCTACCAACTTCTAAAGAATGTGACACACAAAATTATCTTCTGCACTCATGTGTTGCGGGGTGATTTTTCATGGACACTCTTCGACTCATATATATATATATATATATATATATATATATATATATATATATATATATCCTTCCTTGGTAGATGGTTAGGATGCATTTCAAATTAATGGTTAAGATATGGTGTCTAGGACTCTTCATCTAAATATCTATCTATATATTTAAAAATTCTACAAAATTTTTATTATTCTAAAATATTTTTCAATCTACCAACCTCTAAAGATTATGGCACACAAAATTATCTTCGGCACAAAGTTGTATTAATGATGATTCGCCTCCAAGTATGAAGTCCGGTTTTCGTGATATAGTTTTCTTTTGAATTTGCGCTTATATATGCTGCTTACGGAGAAAGAAAGAAAAAGGTTATTTATTATAATATCTTCCATTTAAAAAAAAAAAAAAGGTAAAAAATCACTACTTTAGATAATTTTAGTTTCATTGACCATGGTCAACGGTCAAATCACTTCTTCCACCGCCTAAAAACAGGACGATTTTTAGTCGTCCGATCCTTTACAGAAGACCTCCGCTCCTATATAAATACACTGGGAAAGGTCAACCGCTAGTTTGATTCATAGCCAAATTCATCGGCAAATAGATTTAGAATATATGAGGTGATTCGCGGGTTTTATAGTAATGCTGTGTCTTAGAATTTTAGTGTGTATTTGGTAGGAAAATAAATTAGGATTTTTTTTGCCTTGAATTTGATATAATATTTGATAGAAAATAATTTGCAGAGTTCTTATTTTATTTTTTATTTTTATGTTTTGTTCCTGCCAAATATATTGTTCATCTGTCCTCTAGCATTGGTGATTTTCTAACCAATTGATCGATTTTTTGCATGTCTTTCAGAATTCTGTTGGTTGCTGAACTTTTTGTTGAATTTATTCGGATAAATTACACTGATCTCTCATATGATTTGCAATAAGTACATGAACAATTTGTCATAATTACATGAACTTTCTATGTGGTTTGGGAATTTACTCGAATGAGGTAGCATAGGCATTTTATTTAATTTAGTACATGAAGTCAGGACAATTTGTCGTTAACTAACGTACCTTGACTCTACTAGAAGAGAGGTCCATATGAGATAGTTTCATTTTTAGGGAATAAAATCCTATACACAAAAGAGGTCCATATAATTATGGCAAACCATAAGAGGTCGGTGTAATTTATCCAATTTATATTAAATGATTAATTGCAAACTGTTATGCAAACTTTTTTTCTTTCCATATAGAATGAACTCTCTCTCTCACACACAAAGGCACATAACACACACAAAGTACAACGCACATATTCTATCAAATGTTTTATACAGTATGTCTTTAATCTTACACCAAGTAAATATAAAGAACTTGACTCCTAAAACTTTTTTATTCCTACGTCTTTTTTGGTTTGAGTAAATTAACCAAAGACCTTCAACTTGATTGTGTTGAACTTGTCATATATCACATTTTTTTTTTTTTTTTTTTTTCAGATAAAGATGGTGTTCCCTAAATTAATCTGTCACTGAAAGAAATGTCTATGCCTTTGTAGTAAAGAAATGTCTTCTTTTCCTAATTGGTTATCAGTACAATTTTCATGTATTTATTAATGTTGATTTGTAGGAATTTCATGCAACAATGTTGTGTATTTAGCAGCTATTCTTAATTACCGATGAACTTGGATGAGCTTGAGGATAGAATTACTTTTTGATTTAATTACTTTTGGATGAGCTGGACTCCTATGTGGAGCATGTATTGGGATTTCAGGTGTTCTGTTGGTTTCAGTTTTTTTCATGACTAGCGAAAATATGTACATAATCTCGATAAAATGTTTTGGATATTTTGTTCTGTGTCAGCTATATCTCATTTAACTATATTTTGGTTGGTTTCATGACTTGATTCTTGTAGGTTTTACCATATGTTGTCGTTACATGATCTGAGCATATTGAAGTGAATAGTAAATGAAAATTTTCTTTTCAAACTTCTTTGAAGGTGTTCTAGTGCTCTTGTTTCTGTTAGATTATATGTACAATAAATACACCTGAACAAAAAACATACACTTGATGTTCTATTTTGAAGGCTTTCCTCGTACACGTCAGTGTTGATTTTAGACGGTCCCCGAAAAGGGGCTTTAAAACATCTTCCTGCATCTCTCTTTCCAAGTCTAGTTTCATTGTAGGCGACCTTGGTGACTGTTTCGGTCCGAGCAGATAGTTGATCCAGCATTGGGTTTTTATTTCTTCTCTATTTTATATGCGTTTTCGGTGTCTTGATGCCTGCTAATATGGTTTGTTTTTTTTTTTTTTTTTTTTTTTTTTTGGGATAGGGATCTCATGATTTCCGTGGTTGAACGAATTACGAAGGTTGAGCTATTTGGTCTGCCTTCCAGCTGGATGTGAACCACAAGTACTTTTTTTTTTTTTTATTCATTTCTTTTGATCATTTCTTGGAAGTAATTAAGGTCTTTCTATTAACTCTTTTAAGTTCTCGGGTAACATAGCCTTTAAGTACAAAATTTATGAAATTTCGGATTTGTAGGGGTTTCTTGCAAAAGCTCTGCAGTGGTACAAAATTTATGAATGGTAATGCTTTGAAGATTTTCTTGCAAAGGCTCTGCTCTGTTCTTTCTTTCTCCTTTTTTTTTTTTCCCTCCAATTCTTAACTTATGG